TCAGAGATCCCACCTTATCCCAGCCAGAACTTTGGCTCTTCTTGAGCCTCACCTTCACTATAGACAGGTAAACCAAGGACAGCTCAGGAAAGCTTCCTGCCAAACTAGCCAGCAGCACCGTGTTTGTGTGGATGAGCTGCCCCCTCCTCCCCACCATGGAAGCTGCAGAATCTTCCCAGAGACCCGAAGAGGGAACAGATGGAGTGACATCATCCTGGTGGCTCCTAAGAGGGAAAATTCAGGATGTGGCAATCAAACAGCTCCTTGAAGGACAGGGGAGTGTCTTGGGGTGGGAACTCTGCCCTCTGAGTCTCTTTCACTCCTCAGAGCACCTGACAGTGTTAGACAAAGAGGAGGTGCTCAAGCCACCAACTGCTTGAGTTGACCGTGACAGATGAAAGCCTTGGGAGGTTGAAGGCAACAGCTCAGTGACTATTTACTTTTGAATTAGAGGAAACATTCAAATGGCCACCCAAGCCCATCTCCATCATTGACCATGAACTCCCCTAATTTTTGTCCACAAAGTGACAAAGGTACAAGGTCTATATTTATTTCCCTTCCCTGCCAGTCTTGTAGGTCAGAAGAAGGAATATTCCCCTCCGCTTGGAAGCTAATTCTCCTACCTGTGCTCATAATTCCTAACCCTTCATCTTCTTTAAGATCTAGACCTTAATCCCAGGAGCTCAAAGAGAGGATGCCCTTCTCAGATCTTCAGAGCAGTGGTTGACCAGTTGGTTTACTGCTGACTCCTAAAAGCAGAAACTGCTGAACCTTCCATTACCTGCTTCTTCTGCCACTGCTTGATAAATGTGCTTATCCTGATCTGCCTGCCAGTGGACTACAAAATCAGAAACATTTAACGTTCTGTGATGAGAAGGAGAAAGATGGAGCCTCCAGCCCAAGAGGCCTCTGTTGGAGCAGGACTGACAAAAGGGGCTTGAACAAACAAGTAATGAGAATGCTCAAGAGGACACAGAGTCTAAGAAAAGGACTTATAGAAACTAAAAGAAAATTAGTTTTTATTTTAAAAAGTTGGGAAATAAACTGAAAGAAGGATGATTACTGCTTATCAGTGAATTAAAGGTCTAGGGGATCAAGTAGAAGAAAAGCTCATAATATGAAAACATAAAAATTTGGAAAACAGGAGGAAACAGTAAGAGATTTAGAGGACAAAACAGGAGATATGACGTTCAAATAATAGAAGTTCCAGAAGGAGAGAGAGAGAGTGAAGAACAGATGGAGGAGAAGTAATATTTAAACAAATAACAGAAGGAAATTTCCATGGTCTGATGTGAGATTTAACACTGTAGGTTGAAAGACCCAAGTCCCAGACAAGGTTATTTTTTTAAAGACACACACCTAAATATAACTTGGTGAAATCTTGGAATTCCAAGGACCAAAAAATATTGCTTACCAAGATGAGAGAGGATGAAGAGATATGAAAGGACATACAACTTTTTCTTTCTTTATCTTTGCATTGTTTCACTAGTAAAAATGAGTACTCGTTATGTTCAAATTGACAAAGAAAAATATTTTAATGGGTTTCTAATGATTCTCATTTTTCTATGGACCCTCTTGACCCAATGTCTCAAGACATGCATGACTTTGGACCCAATGTCTAATTGTCCTATTTTTCTGACTCTGCCTCTCACAACATCTGGCTTCTGGCCAGCCTGAGCTCCTTCAGACCCACAAGCACTTCTCGTGCCTTTATTTTGAGGCTGGAACTGTGTTTGACATTCATATACAAAGATGAAGAAGCATGGTTCCTACACTCAAGGAGCCTAAGTTGGGAGTGAGCTGAATTTGTTCATTGGGGGAGGCCTCTGGGCCTTTGCTCTTGGCTGATTATCAGGGTAAGTGGTGACATATAAAAGTTCATGCCAATTTCTTCCATCAGCCTGCCTAGAACACCCCTTTCGCCCCCTCCCACCAAAGGAAGGCGGCCAGACACTATCGTCCTGTGGTTTCCATGACAACCTTGGGATAACATTAGCTGTGACCCAGCTGGGGTTCTTCTGAGACAAGATGGGTGACTTGGTCTTCCCCCACCCGTCCCAGCTCCTTTTCCTTCTCCCTGCACCTACCTTCCACATCATCCCAGTCACAATGTATGTTGGGATTTCCTTATTTCAGGAACACATTCTACATTTGAAAGTTGACTCAGGCCCTGGGTTTGCTTTCCAAAGGCCATGGAAAAGAGTCCCCAAAGGCAGGCCACCTGAAGCAGTGTCACCCGGGGGGACAAGGGACTTGTTGAGGTTAAGAACCAAAGAGAATTAAAAGAGGAGACTCTCTGAATAGGAGGGTTCCTCCCTTCTTCTCTGGTCAGGGGAGCGAGATGGAGATATAGAAAGCTTAAGGGAAGCCAGCAGGAGAAGCAGCAGGGAGGACTGTAGAGGTGGCCTCTATAGGAAGAACCGTGGGGGACCACCACGCAGGAGATGGACCTGCAGTGCCAGGATCTGCCAGGGGCAGCTCAAGAGGGTTGCAAATGATACCCAGTGAGACAGGAACATCGCCACATTGGACAAAGTAGGGTTTCCAATCACCACACGTGGCTATAGAGCTAATACATTTGCATACCTGGGGGTATCTGGCTAGGTAAAGGAGTACAGCTTCCCAGGTGTTCAGTGACTCCAAGTAACCCCAGATGCATCTTTAGCAGAGTTAGGGAATAAACTCACACTCCCTGCTTGTTTGCCATCGCCCCTCCCCTCCTTGCCATTCCAAAGCCCACCTCTCTGACTCCTTCTCCACCTGTCCAGTCAGAAACTGGCCAAGGCCTGGGGGGTTTGGGACTCTTCCTCACCCCAAAGCTTCTTCTCAATCCCAGAGACCTAAAAACAAGACCATGGTCATCCTCTTTCCTTCTCCCTGAGATATGCAGCTTAGCTGGAGCAAAGACCCCAGAGGCCCAAATGAGGAAATGTCAAGACATCCCAGGGCAGCTCAAGGCCACGTTGCCAACCCTGGCCAAGGTCCGAGCCAAAGGACATAAAGAAACAGGCTTTCCATAGAGAGTATCTTCAAGGATTTGCACTCCTGCCCAGTTGACAAAAGCCCCAAAGTGTTGGCCCAAGCAGGGAGTGCCAGCTTTATGTTTAGTCTGGCACTGATCTTACAGGCCTGCAAGGATCAGCAAGCTGCGAGTGTGGGTTTCAAGGCCCCTGAGTACCCATGTTTATCTTCAGGCTCAGGTCCAAAAGCTCAGAAATGTGTCTGTTTCAAAATAATAATTACAATAGTCTGTCTTCAGTAAGATGCAGACTTTGGAATCCATGTCAAAGTACAGTGGGACAAAACAGCCCAAGAGAATGTGATTTGGGTGCACAAAGAATGGAGTTTAATCTAAGAATTCTCAGAATTCACATGGGCCTCACACACCTCAACAAGAAAAGGATGTGAAGACATTGTAATTGGAAGAGATAATTAGGGGGAAAGACTGGAGCATAATGTTTTTTTGTTTTTGGTTTTGGTGTTGTTGTTTTTTTTTGCAAAATTGGGTGTTTCAGCTGGTTCTGGTCATCAGACAATGGAAGGACTAGCATTTGGATATTCAATTACCTCCTGAAGCTGAGGACCAGTTGAATATATTTGGTACCGGAAATGTCCCAATGAAGCACGAGAAAAATGGAACAAAAGGCTTTTGCGGGGGCCAAGCCATTCTCACAGCTGCAGAAATGGAAGACGAATCCCAGAACACCCTCCACCCTGCCCCAAACCCAGCCCCCACATGGCCTTAGGGGAGTGCATGAGGCAGAGCCTCGCCAGAGCTTGGCTCAGTACAGCACAAGCCCCCCAGGAAGACTGCCTCTGTTGGCCCACCCGATCTCTAGGACACACCATCTCTGTCTCCCTAAGAATGAGAAATACTGAAATAACCTCTCTGACTGTTGGCACCCAGGCACCCTGGCACCCAGGCCCTTACCAATTGGCCTCCCTGCCTCCTTAGAGAAAAATGCCAACTTCCCAACCACACACTGACATTCCTGGCAGAAAGAGCCTTATTATTCCACCTGAACCAACGAGAAACAAAGCCAGTCCAGAAATTTGCCTATTGGGATTGCAAAGCTTTGAATGCCATCAGTCATGTGGAAAATGTTGAGCCGAGCCTGGCAGAGTCCTCCAAGGCCTTCATGCAAAAAACAAAAGGCTGCTGAGAGCGTTCAGGCCCGCATGGAGGAGGGATCGCTAATCACAAAAGCAGGCCCTGGCTTCCTCCGATGGCCCTAATGAGGACCAGGTGACCACCGATGAATGCGACCACACTGCGTTTGCATTTGTCAAATCTGAGATTACTGCAAAGCCTGGAATGAATGAGCCTACAAACAAGAAAATCTATCTGTTCGGGAGCTGGAAAGAATAGGATGTGGAAAAGGCGGGGGGTGTCATCAATTACTTGTGGTTCTCGGAGAGCCAAGAATTATGCTTGGAAGTACAACTTCTGAGCATCTGGAGAAGTCTTTGGTCAGCATCCTAAGTCTTCTGGATAATATCAAAATCATTCCAACCATCCAAGTGAGGCCAGATGGAGGCAATATTGTGTAGTGTGCGAACTCATCTTGGGTCCCTCTCTGCCCTCCCCCTGCTTCTTGCCCATCTTCCTTGGGGGGAGGTGAGCACATGCCCTCCATCACCATCACCCCCCACCACCACCACCACCAAGAACAGCTTAGGGTCTCACCTTCTCACCTGCCAAAATCTGCTCCTAAGAAAGGACTGGATACAACTACTCTTGCACTAATCACGGGATAAGTATTAATATATTTACATTGTAATGGGAGTAAATGACTTCAGATACAGGGTCACAATTCTCACTGTGCAAACTGAGGAATTAACTGAGAGCAGAGGGGGTGGGGGTCACAGGGACAAAGCCAACGGGGCTTTGGAGGAGGGAGGAGTGACACTCACCCAGCTCTGCCCTTCACTTCCTGTGGGGCCTTAGATGTGGCCTCTCTCTTGGTCTCAGTCTTCTCTCTAAAAGGAGGGGCGTGGCTGTGTTCAGTTTGGCAGCACATACACTAACATCGGAACGATGCAGAGAAGATTAGCATGGTCCCCTGCCCAAGGAGGGACAGGACTTCAGGCATTTGAACATTCCTTCGATCTTGACCAGTTCACGGTCAGCCAGCCAGCGGGAGCTTCTTGTGAGCCCCTGAGAAGTAGTGAGGCATGTTTATGGAGATGGGGAGAGCCGAGAGGAGGTGCTACGGCACTCCTGTGGAACACTCCAGAAAGGTGGGCCATGGCGTCCGCTGGGCCCAGGGGACAGAGCAGAAGGGGGGACTGTCACCCATGGGAGCATTTGGTGGTCCTACTGATGGGGTGATAAGGCTGGGGCTGCTCCCGTGTCCCTGGGGGAGCCCCTGACCCAGGGGTACGTGGATTTCACTCCCCTGCAGGGTTTCTACTCACACTGTGGCTTGGACAAATGGCTCAGCTTTGCCAGGGTTAAGGATGTCCCCTGGAACTGTTCAAGGCCATGGCCTTGCCTTTTCCTCCAAATCATTCCCAAGCAACATTATATGCGTCAGGAGTTCTACTGTCCCCGAAGACCCTGTCGCTGTCATCATACTTCTCCCTCTTCCCTCACAGCAAGAGCTCATATCCCTCATCTTCCTCCCTCTCTGCCCATCACTTGGGATGGGCACCCCACACCCCAAAGCACTCCATAAACCCTGCCGACTTGATTGGACTAGAAGTCCAGGCCACAAATGACCATTCCTGGTTATTCATAAATGTTGTGGGGTTTTTTTATTTTTATCTTTTTTTATGAGAGGTATTTGGGTGTCTGGGCGAGGGGTTTTTAAATAACTTTTTATAGCTAATGAAGACTTTTTAAATATCCTTTAAAACAAAAGGCCTTCTTGAAGTTGGGTCTGCAGAGCAGCGACACAATGGACACCCTGTTTACTGGCTACAAATTGTTTACTTTGCTACAAATTGAATGCAGAGAGAGGGCTTTTTGTGCTTAGGCTTGCATACATGTCAGCCTCGAAAAGAATTCAAGTAACTTTAGCCCCATTCCACACACTCCACCTCAACTATGTGCTATGGAATGATGTTGTGTTTGGAGCCGTTTGCCATCGATCTGATTTGGCCCTGGAGTGGGGTGGGGGGTGGCCGGGTCTCTTATTACAACTGTACTTTAGACCCTAGGGTGAAGAAAACGAATTCAGCAACTCGGTATCTTTGACCTGCAGAGAAGACTCAAGATCTCACTTGAGAGGGAAGGGAGGGCTTGCAGGAAGGAGGGAGGGAGAGGCGTGCTCTCTCCTCACAGGTTCTTTTGGGGAGATACTCCTCACCCTCTGACCTCCCCACACTCCCCGCCCTCCAGGGTGTGACATGATTAAGAATAGATCTTCCCTGCTTACGGGGTGGGAGGGTCCAATAGACTCTACAACCATGCCAATCCCTTTGTTTCCGGTCCTTCACCTTCCTTGCTGTCTGCTTTGGGCAACATTGTGTCCCCCCCAAGATTCATGCATTGAAGCCCTACCTCCCAGTATCTCAGACTGTACTTGGCAATGGGGCTTTTAAAGAGGCCATGAAGTCAAAATGCTGCCCTAATCCTATCTGACGGGTGTCCTCATAAGAAGAGGAAATTTGGACCCACACAGAGATACCAGGGTGCACGCGCACAAAGGAAGGTCCGTGTGGGGACACAGTGAGGGGATGGCCACCTACAAGGCCAGGAGAGAGGTCTCAGAAGAAACCAACCCTGCTAACACCTTGATCTTGGACGTCTAGTCTCCAGAATGGTGTGAAATACATTTCTGATGTTTAAGCCACCCAGTCTCTGGTAGTTTGTATGGAGCCCTAGCAATTTAATACACTGTCAAAAGGACAAAGACCCTGGAGCTGTTTCCAAGCTTTTGTTCCTCATCTATAAATAGAAATATCTGTCTTGCAGGACTCTTCTAAGTGTTAGGTTTGCAGATGACAAGGCACCTGGAGACATTTGCTACATAATTGCGAATGTTAACATTGTTACTACTTTGAGAGACCAATCAGTGTTTGTATGTCCTTCCTAGAATCTCTCTCTATTGATTTGATGATTTACTACAAAAGAATTTAGTGCTGTTGGCAACCCTGGAGATCTCACCCTTGTTGCGCATTTCCAGGGGCTGCAATCACGCTGTTTGTCGTCCCTACACCAATCCCCTCTTCCTGACTTTACATCCTCACCAATTTCACAGAAAATCAGTGTTTCACAGTAATCATCGGTGAGACAAAGGTTTGTTGAAGGTCTATATAAATTATATCCACAAAGCTATTCACCTTCATGTCAAACTCTAAGAAATAAGTCAGGTGTGATTTTTGCCCTGATATAATCTGTTTTCTTTCGCAAAGAAATACTTCTTTTTTTTTTTTTTTTTAAGTATTGGTGATTCTGTCTTCTCTCCTACCTGTGCTTTGTGACATGCTGGAGAGGCAAGGCTTGTACACTGAGCCCTCTGTGATGTAGTAGCGGGCTTCCGGGGACACTGTGGCCACACGTAATGACAGGTTACATCCTTCACCAACAGTCTTGGCCGTTGATCTACATTTAGCTTGCTTGTCTTTGGAAACACTGGACTTTGACCACCTCCGACTTTAAACCTCCAGTCTGATACATTAGACTCTCCCCCAGGGCTCTCCCATCCAACACTGGCGTGGATCCTGGCCGCATACCATTTCTCTCCCTTAATATCTCTAAATGAAAAGACCGTCTTAGCCCTCAGTGTCTGATGGCCACAGAGTCTCTGCCTGGCGTTTGGACTAATCTTTCGATAAACACTCGGGCAAAGTTAGCTCACCGCAGGAGCTATGTGAGCTTTCTAAGTGAGATGGGCACAACAAAAAAATTGGTCAATGTCACCAGCAGAGATAAATGTACGGTATTTATATTTAATTAATGTTTTTCAACGGTTAAGATGCTCTCACTCCTGGCTGATAACTTCACCCTCAGGAGTGTAGAGAAGGCGATGGCCATGAAAAGAAAGTTGTCTTCTTTTATATTAGCCATAGCTTTCTTCGAGAACTACTTCCCTCCAGATCTGATGCCTTTCCCTCCCTCCACACCAGCTCCTTTCTGACATTACAAAACCATCTTCTCCTGAGCCCCCTGTTTTCCCCAGCGGGCCATTTCTCACAGCCAGCATTCTTTTTTAAACACTTAATTTTTCAATTTGTAGTGAGATATAGTTGACATGTCACCTTGTAGAAGTTTGAGGTGTACAGCATGCTTAATTGATACATTTATATATTGCAATATGATTACCACCAGAGCGTTAGCTAGTGCCTCTCTCCTGTCATATAACGATCATTTTTCTTCGTGGTGAGAACAGTTAAGATCTCGTCTCTCAGCAACTTTGAACTTTACTATACAGTATTGCTAACTATAATCTCTATGCTGTGCATTCGATTTCCGGGACTTTTTTATCTGCCAGTTGCAAGTTCATACCCTGAAATAACATTTCCCAGTTCCCTCACCCCTGCCCCCCCAGCCCTTGGTAACCACCATTCTACTCTCTGTTTTTATGAGTTCTGCTGTTTTTCGATTCCGTATATAAGTGAGATCATACAGTTTACGTCTTTCTCTGTTGAGTTTCATTCCGCAGAATGCCCTCAAGATCCAGCCATATCTCAAATGGCAAGATATCCTCCGTTCTCCTGGCTGGGTAAGGTCCCACTGTATGTGTCTGCCACGTTTTCGTGGCCAAGGTTCCTGATCACAGGGTCGTTACCCACCACCACACCTCATAGCCGTGCGTTTGTTCCTGAATGTCTGAAGCCTGATTGCCCCATCCTACCACTCACCAAAGGAAACTCTCAGTCCCAAGGCCAAAGGCTGAGCCCCCGGGGGCAAACCTCCCCACCGCCCCCACCCCCTGGGGGAAGGAAGCAGAAACACCCGGCTACCAGCAGGAGGATGAGGGGCGAGGCCTGGATGAGATGTTCAGCCTCGTGGGAAATTACAGAATCACGTGCAGTGAGCTTCCAGGCATCCACACCGCAGCTGGGGACAAGCATCTGCCTGCCAGAGGGGTCGCTTCCTCTCCCTCTCTGTGACCCACAGCTTCTGCCACCCCGTATCAGCCCACCCCAATGTGCCACCCTACCCTCCATCTCCCACCTGCTCTCAGGCTGCCCCAGCCCTCCCCTACACCTTTCCACACCCTTCAGAGATCCCAGAGCCCACTCTACACTGAGCGCCACTGAATACTTAACTTTGGCCAAGCAATTGCATATTATTCTGTCCTCACAGCAAACCTACACGTTAGGTGCTGCTGCCACCCTCATTCCCATTTCACAGGCAAGAAAACAGTCCCTGAGAGAGTCAACTATACTTGCCCAGGGGTCACTCTTAAAAAGTAGCAGAGCTAGAACTCTGTCGCAAGAAGTCTGGCTCCATGGAGCCTGTCTTGCCTCATGTCTGAGTCTGTTTCCCTCTTACTGTGTCGGCTCAGCTGCATGGCCCTTGGGCAAAGAAGACTCCCCAGCCCAAGGCAACGTTGGACCAGAGGGGTTGTCCTCCTCCAGGGAGCTCTGAGCAGTCTGGAGAATACCTTGACATTGGCGGCTGATCCCTTACTCTCCCTCCTGGATTCTGCTCCATCCCTACTTCTGCCCTGCCCCCACCCACTTCAAACCAGCTCTGCTGCACCCACTTTTCCTGTTGAGTTGCCACCATGGGAGAGGAACCCAATTTTGTCCCCAAAATGCAGAAAAGAGGAGCAGTTATGTCACAGACTTCGAGTGGACTGCCCAGTTTCAATTCTGGCCCCACCACTTATTCACTGTGTGGCTTGGGACAAGTTACTGAACCTCTCTGTCCCTGGGACTCCACGTCTGTAAAACGGGGATGATAATAGCACGTCCCTCTCGAGGAGATTGTGAAGATGAAGCAGCACGGTATGAACACTGAATAAGCATTTGCTCTCACTGTTTGCACTAGCAGTCCTAAGGAAACATCCCTTCTTAAGAGGTAATATTTTGGTGGGAGGCTCTCAAAGGGGGAAAACACTCAAAGAGCTGAAGAAATACAGCACGCACTGTAGAATTCCAGGCACCCTGAAAGGCCAAGGGTCCTTCCTTGCACGCCCCAAATCATATCA